GTGAAATATTATTTAAATTCTGACTCCATCTCTCTGATGACTCAAAATAATCCAAAGTAACATCGGATTCTTTACAGCCTGTGCTGTCAATCATTTTAGCCACATTGTTTACATAGACATTCCCCTTTGACCTCACTTCCTGTTTCTTCACATGCAAATATCTCAACAACCGTTCATCTCAGCAGCGTGAAATTCTTTTTGCAATATGTTGTTAATGTTGGGTTTCCAAAATCACATTCATATTTATTACAAAAATTGGATGTCACAGGCACTTTAAGGTTCTCATCCTGTCTTAAAGCCTCTCAGAGAGGAGTCTGTTTGGAATCCAGGTGAGGAAACAGCAGTTGTGAACGGGCAGCCAGCCAGCATTGCAATTAGGATGTTTGAGGCTGGRCCTGACCATGTAAGTACGTTATGCTGTGGTCCTTTTCTAAATTGAATCATGACAATTTTGTCTGCGAAGATGCTTCAGTAAAAGCTTACCTTCCCCGTCAAGTGCATTCTCCCTGATCAGGCAAACACATTACTGTCCCCGATGTCTCAATGCAACATTAAATGTCACTAAAAAAAAATCTGACTCTTCGACTATATAATTAAAAAAAAAGATACAATTCTCTAATACCTCAAGTCAGTAGCTCAGAGTTTTTTGAAGTGGGATTCTGGTGAAATGTTATAAACAATATCTTACCTGTTGAGGATGGAAATTTTGTGAAAATAGTTTGACTAAAAATGGGCAAACAGCTAGTTTAAAGCTGGCTACAGAAATCTATTTTTACCAGAATTGCTACAGCTATCTGCTGCTGTTTGTGCTCCCAAATGTCCACATAAATATGATATAAACTTACAGTAGTGAACAGCATTATAAAATGGTTTCATGAGCTGCTATAAATTTATTGGAAATGTAGCTGTTTTGAGATGGCAGCAATCCACATTCAATCAAACCATTAGCTCATCAGTCTGGTCAGAATTTAACTTATTTTCGAACCAAGTTCAACAAGCTATCTACAGCAAGTTAAACATTCATTTCCAGAACTTTTCCTCAGAACTCCACATTTAGTGTTACCTTTCAGTATTTCTTCTTTCTGTTCCTTTTCTGGGACCAAAAATACAACCCTAGTGAAAATATTTTCATTTCCTAAAAATAAGACAAGAGAAACGATTATTGAAGAAGCTGTTCTGTGGAAACTTAAAACAAGGCAAAGATGATCATTTGAATTATAAATGTTATAATAAACATTTTAATTCTCATAAGACAGAAACAATAAGTGCAGCTACTAAACTATACCTAAATAATAATGTCACCTGTCTTGTCTAAGGCTAATTCTGAAACAAAAACATCATTTATTTGATAAATGCAGTCAATATTGTCTACATTTCCACTTTTAAAGATAAAATGTGAAGATTAGATTTAATTTTAAAGCTGGGGAAGAAGTTACACTTTTGTATTTATTGGGTAAAAATCAAACAGCATTTTATAAACATTGATATAAAAAATCAAAATCAATTAGTTGTTGTAAAATGACATTAGCACAACAGGACAAACATCATTTGCAACTGAAAACAAAATCAGTCTATTGCACAACTTTTACACAATCCTACCAGTTAGTTAAATCTACAGGATTTGTTGCAATCAGTGAACAAACAAAAATCCAAAAAAACATACAATAAAGCCCAGAGAGAATGTTTTTAGTTCCAGTTCACCTATAGGATCATTCACTGTACTTGGTTCAGTTCAAGCCCTTTGTCTTTATTCACTTTCTGCTGCTTCCTGTGTTATTTCTTACACAAAACATGCCCTCTATAAACATGCTAGGTTATAAATGTCCATACAGTCACACCAAAGTTAGACTTATTTTATTTTTTGCTTGTCCTTAATGAGAGCCTTATTACTTACACTGCAATAAATAGATTCAAAAACGTGTAAACTATGCAAAGGTTTGTGCAGAGAATGAACAGTAACATTTTATTCTGGGTTTGTGTTTCTGTAGGCAGCAGAAGCAAAAACAGTCACACAAAAACCGATTTTGGTCCCAGGAAAACGCACAATCAAAAACTAGTACTTAATGGGGATTGGAACAACTTGACATTGTTTCTGGCTCGAGCGCTTCGTTTCACAAAACTAAGGAAATATGGCACAACACTGCTTTAAAGATTTCTTTACATTCGTCTCAGTTTAAAGGGAAAAAAAACAATCTCGTTAATTTACAGGAAATAAATATTACGTAATTGTGTACCTACAACATGAATGATAAAAAAATGCAACAAATAAGGTTCAGAAACTTATGTCACTATTAATAATTATAGTTAGAGTCTGCATATTAGGATTTACAACCCTTTGACTGTAGTTGGTCTTTTGAACAAGACCTCAACATGATTTATTAAGACCAAACCGTCTCAATAGTTACTGCTTCGAAATAAACACCTTTATACTTTTAGACCCAGATCCTTGTTGAAGAGCTTAAACAACTCAAACTGCTGTTACACATATTAATGTGTAAATAACACTCACTTGATGCATTCAGCAGTTCACTGCTCTAAACAGGACAGGCTCCATCCTTCCTTCAACTCTGATCACTTCCTGTTTATCACACCACCTCGTCAGACTCCAGGTTGTTTTCTTCGTACAGCTCATCTAGGATGCACAGCTGCCTCTCCATGGCAGGCAGGTACATCCCCAGGTCCCTGTGCACGCTGCTGGTGAACTCGCTCCTCAGCTCGTCCCCCTCGCTCGACACTAAGGCGGCCGCGAAGCTTTGATAAGATGGAGCGGCTCGGAGCGCCAGCTGAAAGGCAGGAGGGAAGGAACTGAGCTTTAACGTAACACAAGCCCGTGGACTATTTCGCAGATACCGCCATCTTTACCTAGCACAAAGCACCATGGGCCAGTTTGGGGGCATCCGGTGCCGGTGTGTGAATTAAATGACTGAAAATGGGCGGTGTACTATGTTTTACCTGTGTATACTGTATGTGCAACAATGATCACAGATACATGAAAACAAGTTTAAATATTTAGAATTATTAAAACACAAGATAGTCTAGTACAGTGGTTCCCAAACTTTTTATCTTCTGACCCACAAAATATCCATGGCAAAAACTTGTGACCCCAAATATTACTGGTCTGAGTACACAAACTTCATTAATAACCCTAAAAACACAGGTTTTTGACTATCTAAACAGCTTTACACAAATATAAATACTTATTTATACTAATTTTGTGTTTTTGTAATAATTATATAGGGAAAATATTACACCATCACCCTTTAAATTGATTTCTGGAGATTATCCAAGGTGCTTCATGACCCATAATTGGGTCCCAAGCCCAACTTTGGGAACCAAAGTGCAGTAGTTCCCAAACTTTTCAGCTTTTGACCCACAAAATAACAGTAGCAGAGACCTGTGCCCCCAACTATTTTTGGATGATAAACATTTGTATCAGGTCAACTAAACATGGTAAATGGTAAATGTTTCTGAACTTATAGAGCGCTTTTCAAGTCCCTCCAGACCCCAAAGCGCTTAACATAACAGACATTCACCCATTCACACTCACATTCACACACTGATGATGGCAAACTACACTGTAGCCACAGCTGCCCTGGGGCACACTGACAGAGGTGAGGCTGCCATACATCGGCGCCACCGGACCCTCTGACCACCATCAGTAGGCAAGGTGGGTGAAGTGTCTTGCCCAAGGACACAACGACAGACAGCTGGACGGGGGATCGAACCAGTGACCTTCTGGTTCCAGGACGACTCGCCTAACCACTCCGCCACAGCCGCCCCACATGGGCGTAATAACAATATTTTTATACTACATTTATACATTTTTAAATATACTAACCTCACTCGTTTGTAACAACTAAGGCAAAAATGTAATTAATTCAGAAAATCTTTTCAGGACCCCACCTTGATGTTTCGGGACCCCATTTTGGGTCCCAAGCCAAACTTTGGGAAACACTGGTCTAGTAGATCTTGTGCTAAATATATTGACGTGGTTTACAGCAATCTAGGGTGCATATCACATTTCCTGACTACAGATCATTTTGACCACTTAATATTACAAATATAGGTATGGACTATCTAAAAAAACTCGACCATATAACAGTGTACAGTTTATTTAACAATAATATACACCATACAGAAAGCTATAGATCACAATAACAAATTCATTTATTACTGTTAAAACAAAAAYACATATTTTGATTTAATATTGAAGCCAAATTTGATGCGTGGCTAAAAGGTACTCAGAATTTAACAAATGATAGGTCAGCCTGCCTCAAGATTATATTTAGATTAAATGTTTTTCACCCAGCCCCACTGGTCATAATGCTGTTAGTATGATCACTACTGGGATTTTCTCTGGTAATATATTTAATATAGTGCCATACTATATATAATATAATATATAGTAATTACTACATTATATTAAGAGTGAAAATGTTGCACAGCAGTATGACCTTGCCTCTATTTTGCATCTCCAGTTTGCTGTTTTAGGYACTAATTCCAACATTTGAGCAGGTCAAAGTTCTGCACGAGTTTGTCCTTTTYCTGATTAGAAGTTGGTACCTCACGAACCAAATTAAACACTCTAAAATGTGCAACAATCCAAACTTTAAACTTTTATAGCCTGTCCCATCATTTACTTTTCTTTTGTTTGCCCCCAAACAATCACACAAACCATTGTGCGCCGCTTCCGGTGGGCGGCGCTAAACGGTATATGCGAAATAGTCCATTGTTAATGTAAGTAAGAGATACTTACAGCAAATACACCTCGTACAACCCACCCGTGGTACTGCCGAAGAGTCCTTCCATAAGCATTATCTGGATGGAATATTAAAAATCATCATACACAGCAAAAAAAAAAAAAAAAAACATTTATGTTTATAAATGTCCACTTCTTCAGCCCAGAATCTTACTTAATGCTGCCTGGATGTCCCGTTCCCCAGCGTTGACCTCTGACAGGAACTCCTTGAGGAACTTCAGGCCTCGTTTGAGCCACAGCAGAGCTTCGGTCGCAGAGTTGCGGACCTGAGCAACGTTCATCTGTAGTTCATGCAGTACGATGGACTGTAGTGTGGGGAAGCTGTCAGGGTCCGACATCAAYTTCTGCTGAATTTTCTGCCAGGAGGGGCGGGGGGGAAAGATGAAGGTGGTCTGAAATATATGCTTCAACTACTTTGACTTAACTCCTATTTCAGCAAATGAGTGTGGAAATTGTACATTTTATAACTCCTAGAATATACTGCATATTTAAAACTTTAGATTAAATTTCTAATAAAAAGTGATAAAAAAAGTAGATAAATGCAAAAATCCTCCATTTATACAAGAAATCATTCTCATTAATTGATTGTTTGACTCAGTATTTAAAATGTCATTTAGCTTTATTTTAAATGATAAATCTGTCATTAATCACAATTTGTTCATTGTTTCTTTAAAACGTGAACTTACCTTAATATTCCCAACAAAATCCATTTTAACTGGTGCAAAAACTGTGGATCCCAGTTTGTCTGAGGAAGAGAGAATTTAAAATCATTTCTTTGCTGCTTCTGGAGTTTGATTTTTATTTAAGGGGTTATATGATGAAGTGTTGATTACTTATTTAAATTAGTGTTTTTATAAAACCATCTCTAAAATTTTAAGATTTGTTGCATCTTGTAGCACATTATACAAGTTATGTTTAAATTATATTTAAGAGAGAGGAGAAAAAAATGTATCAGGATTTAAATAAAAGGTTCTGTGTGAGCTGAAAGCTTTTTACTGTGGCTTTTTTTTCTGATAACACTTATCTACAAATTGTTTCTTGTAACACTGTCTTCTTTTTGGAAATCATGAATCTTAAAAGGGATCCAAGATTAGTTGTAACATTAGACTTTATTTGATAAACATTTATTTTAACTGTAAAATAAAGACTGCAAAAATACTGTAGGCTGTTTAGTTTTTATAAAATTTTAATCTAAAAATGTAAAATTATATTTACATGGACGGAGCCATTTTATTTACACACAAAGCATTCTGGGTAAATGATGACGTGGATAGGTCCTCGGTGCGAGGCTGCTAGCGAGCTATATCCACCCTGAAGGTTAATCTTGGACAATATCTGATGATCGACTCTTTTAAATGAAACCAGAGAGCGTTGACAGAGAGGAGAAGGTAGAAATGACTCAGCCTGGAACTGAAAATATGGATGGAGGACAACAGAGCTGCTTCATGGAAGAAGAACCTCAGCTTAGCCTGTTAGCTTTAGCATTAGCCCCAACGCTATCACTTAATTTATTAGCTCAGCGCTACACATTCTCCTCTCGTCACTGAAGTCCTCCATCCACATGACAGAGAGGGGAACACAAAAATGACAGACTGCAACTGAAAATATGGATGGAGGACCTCACTTTAACTTGTTTGTAGTGCTAGCACTGAGCTAATACATATAAGGCAATATAGTGTTGACGCTAGTGCAAAGGCTAACAGGCTAAGCTGAGGTTCTTCTTCCATGAAGCAGCTCTGTTGTCCTCCATCTATATTTTCAGTTACAGGCTGAGTCATTTCTACTTTCTCCTCTCTGTCAACGCTCTCTGGTTTCATTTAAAAGAGTCGATCATCAGATATTGTCCAAGATTAACCTTCAGGGTGGATATAGCTCGCTAGCAGCCTCGCACTGAGGACCTATCCACGTCATCATTTACCCAGAATGCTTTGTGTGTAAATAAAATGGCTCCGTCCGTGTTAAAACATATTTTTTTAAGATTTACAAAACTAAACAGCTACAGTATTTTTACAGTCTTTATTTTACAGTTAAAATAAATGTTTATCAAATAAAGTCTAATGTTACAACTAATCATGGATCCCTTTAAGAAAACATCCAGTGCTGCTTGTTTCCAGCAGATCTTCCCACAAAGGAAAAATGACAAATGGACTCCCATTTATAAAGTGCTTTTTTTGTTCTTGTTGATGCACATTCAAAAAAAAATTGATGCTGTTATTTCTTCCATCTTTACATARCTGAGTATGAACTGAAYGCATTCATATTTTTACAAAAATACCTTTAAACCTGCTGATGTGCTGTTTGTGTTTCAGCTGATTTTTCTGCATATTAGCTCTGATCATAAATGCACGAGCCGATCTGTACGACAAACACTGACAAATGCAGCAGAGCCCAAAATAAAGCCACCGTTTTACAACCGCAGAAAAAATATATATGAAAACTGAAGCAGAAAGCTGCCACATCATTCATGAAAAATAAAAGCCATGCCAAGCACAAACAGGTTTAAAGGAGGGAATATTTTTTGTTAAAAGTCATAAAACCTGAAATGACCAAAGATGCAAATGAGCAGAGTGGAAAACAGGAAGAGGGAAGCAGATGAGAGAGGAGACTGAATGTAACAAGCCTACCTAATACAGGCACTATTGCATAGCATGAGTCCAAAAACTCTTGTGAGGGAATACCATTGTCGTCATCCAGTCTTATATCACTAAATCTAAAGGGGGAAAAAACAAGTAAAACAGATTCAAACAGCAGAATACATCTGGAAAACATTTAATATTTTATTCGACTACATCAACACAGAAAACAAAGGTACAAATGTCAAAACCCAAAAAAAGGTTTCACACAAAGTGTCATGCAGTTCTAGGCCTGAGAATACCTGAGGCTATTCTGTGTATTTGTCAACAATTCAACAGGATTTTATTTCTATAACAACCTAAGGTGCACTTGTTTACATCGACCACATCAGTGAGAAAGACAGAAAAGACTTCACACTTTTCTAGCAGAAGAGCCGAAATATGTCAGAAACACAAAGAGAACAAAAACAGAAACTTTACAAACCTACACATGAGATGAGTGCCTCTCTGTGACGTGATTAAAAGAAAATACACTAATAAATCACTTTGTCATGACATTCTGAGATGGTTCAGACCTATTTGTGACTTTGTTTTTCTTAAATTCAAACAAACTACGTTGCTGTGCAGTCAGAAGACTGGTGCTTTGGCTCAATGACGAGACTTAACATGTAGCTTAAACTGGTTTATTTTAATACTGTTAAACAAATATCGCGGCAATCCCACAACAAGCTTGTGATAAATTAAGCCTTTTAAGCAATGTGACTTTCCTGAGTGCCATTATCATACCTGTGGCTCATTGTGTTGAAGAAAGTTTCCACCTGCTCTGTGTCTGAATCTGCTGAATCCATGGGAGTCTCGTCTGCTTCATCATCGCTCTCTTCTTGGTCTAAAGTTTCTTTTTCCTCTCTGTGCTCGAGTTGGACAGCGTTCTCTTCCCTGCTTTTGTTGTCGTTATCTTTACTTTGGTCCACTTTGTGCAGCTGTTTCTTCTTCTTTTGGTCGGCAGCTTCGATCTCGTCTCCCTCTGCTGGTTGATCCTCGTCTTCATTCCCAGAGGCATTCTGGGTAACGTGTGWGGCGGGACTGACTCGCTCCTTGTGGTTGGATCTTTTGGATGATTCAAAATCTGCAAGAAACAAGTGAAGAGGATATATAAGGATACGAGAATAACGAAAATACAAAAAAAACGATTTTTTTTTTAAACGGACAGTTGTATTTGTAAAAACAAAAAAAAATAAACAATATCTGTTATATTCCGAACAACCTTAATTTTATTCATCAAGTCTAGGTTTAAGTGTACTGCTAAGGGAAATGTAAAAAGTACTACTGGACATTTTACTTTGATGAAATTAGGGGTGTCCTGACACTAGTTTTTCTCAAACCTAGTGCGAGTATAAATACAGTACTACCGTTTGGGTACTCACCTGAAGAAATTTATTGGGGTTTGTTTACTTACTGATTTTTAAAAGCATCACACATTCTGTAGGGATGTGGATACATTTTTTATCCTACACCAATATTAAATCTGACAGCGGATTCCAAAAGAACATAACAAACCATACAAAATAACACCAAAATCCTGTGATTATCTCAAGTATGAGGGAAGTTATTGATGTTTGTTTAAGTGAAATCAGCTAATTTTCTTGCTGCAGTTCACAGCAGAACCAATGTGACCACTTCACCTTGTTCTTATCTTTCTTTGCTCATAACTTCCTCAGTGTTCAAGATATTACCAAGAAATATTAGGAAAAGATTCATATTCTGGTTTTTGTAGGAAGCATCTTGTATCCTAAAAACTAATAAAACGCAATAATAACCAATGCAAAAGTAGCAGAAAAGGTATAAAATAATATTACATCAAATCAAATTAATGCGTCTTAGAAAGTAAGAAACTTAAAACAATTTAAAAACCATGTGGACATCTGTTTTGTAAACAAAGCTCCTCAACCAATGACAGCCTGTGAAATGTGTCAGGTGACGAAGACGTGCGTCAACACACTTTGCAACAAGCACTATTCCAGATTTTAAAAAAAACATACTTCGACGTTTCAAATCATTACCAAATTTGAAACAAGGGCAGATAAATAATGTTCTTCATGACAGCTTATCTCTTTAAGGGGTCACTAAAAAAAACTCGGGTGATTTAGTTTGATCCTATATTCAAAAAATTATCTCTTCAGAACGCATCGACAAAAACTAAAAACTCAAGGACGAGGCTGTAGCCAACTACCTGACGTCAGCACGCTTTGTTGGAATTCGTAGAAATAACGAAGCCAACGCACAGAGTAGCCTTGCAAAGTCTGATCACAGCAGTTTGGGAAGAAAACGGCAGCAGMTGCATCCTTACATCCTGTAGTTTTTCTTAGGTGAACCATGATATATTCTTATAAACTATTGTGTGATTTGTTCTGTGATTAAATTGATGATTTTATGTACAGACTGGTTTGGGTGGCTATAAAATACGTTTACACAGGGCAGGAGGTACTGTTAGGTTAGATGCATGCCTGGAAACACTTCAACACATAATAAAATGTTGATTTTTACACTAGGAAAGGAATTATGTCAGGAGACCAGGTTCCAGTCAAAGTCTGACCCTTTTAATGATGCAATGAAAATAGGTGGAGTCAGGTCCTGAAGGAAGTGATATACTGAATAATACTTCCTGGATGCTTTGCTGAATGCATGGGGAGAAAAGCATTAAACCTGCATTTCAGTCCAGCGCTGTGTTGCGTGGTTGTATGATCCTTTTCCTCACATTTAACCATTCACACATTGGTGTACTTTCCATCTGGTTGTGAACACGTAATGAAGTAAACAAACACGTTTAAATTTCATTTCACACTGATACAGAGTACTTAGAACTTACACAATTACTTTAAAAACACAAAATAAAAATTAAGAACAAGGTGGATCTCCTTACTTATGGCCCATCAGGTAAAATTATTTATGTACAGCAGGATGCATACTCTTTAAAATATAAATTAAAAAATATGATTTTCTTTTAACTTTTAATTTATTTTAAACATGGATCTGACAAACTTTTCACTTGAAATGTAAACTGTAACATATTCAACAGAGAACTGACACAAGTATTGGTATCAATCTCGAGTATCAGGGCATTTTGTACAAGTACTTGTAAAAAAAAATGCTGATATCGGACTCTATACCAATACCAGTATCGGTACTGAGACAGCACTAGATGAAAAGTACAGACATATATTTTCGTGTCAGAAATGGTGTGTGGCGGGAAACCTGACTGACCTGATGGGGAAGGATGGTGTTCTGATCTGTCTGGTTCATCAGGTCCCTCTACCCCAGAGTCCAGACTCTGGGTGTCGTGTCGAGGTGCTTGTCCTGAGGTTTCAGTCAAATCTTTCCACCTGGTCGGGGAATTAAAAGCATTTAGATTTAAAAAGAAAAAAATATATGACTGGGCGCTTAAGCAGTACCATCAAAAAGGCAGTACAGACAATGTTTTTTAAAGTGTGATGTAATTTTAATTATCCTGTCAGTGGGTATGGTATCTAACAAAACACATCACCTGTCAAGTTATTTTTGTAGCAGGACACTCGTTTAACCTGTTTGTTTCACCCTGGCTGCAACAACTTCTCATCTAAACACAGTTTGTACATATTTTGGAAACATTGCCTTTTGGATTTTGAGAAAGAAAACTTGTAAGTTAAAAATAAATTACTCAAAAATGATGGCAAAGCTTTGATTACAATCCCAAATTCCTGAAAGTTAAAAAGACATGTAAGATTAAAGAGATTAAAAAAAACAACAAAGCAGGAATGTGTTTCACTAAATTCTTACTCCAGTGACAGGAACAGATGATAATCTGGAATTACAGGATATATCTCTGTTAAGAATGCATTTAGGCATTCCACACACTAAATAGTTAGTTACAAGTTTTTTTCCATATTGTCTACGTAAAATGTGAATGTGTGTAACTTTAGCCGTCACTTTGTGTCACGCAGTTGCCTGCCAACAAGCACAACACCTGATGCAACCTAAACCCTAAAATCTCTCTCTACTACACTTTCTGTTTCCACAAATTGTCAGCTGCATTTGTTTAGTTTTTCTGACAATTTATTTCCCTTTTAAGGGTTTATTTAAAGGGATCCACGATTAGTTGTAACATTAGACTTTATTTGATAAACATTTATTTTAATTATAAAATAAAGACTGTAAAAATACTGTAGGCTGTTTAGTTTAGTAAATTTTTAAAAACATTTTAACACAGATTTTATTTACACACAAAGCATTCTGGGTAAATGATGACGTGGATAGGTCCTCAGTGCGAGGCTGCTAGCGAGCTATATCCACCCTGAAGGTTAATCTTGGACAATATCTGATGATCGACTCTTTTAAATGAAACCAGAGAGCGTTGACAGAGAGGAGAAGGTAGAAATGACTCAGCCTGGAACTGAAAATATGGATGGAGGACAACAGAGCTGCTTCATGGAAGAAGAACTTCAGCTTAGCCAGTTAGCTTTAGCAATAGCCCTGACACTATCACCATATATATGTATTAACTCGGTGCTAGCATGACAAACAAGCTAAACTGAGGTCCTCCATCCATATTTTCAGTTGCAGGATGTTATTTTTGTGTTCCCCTCTCTGTCATGGAGGACCTCAGTGATGAGAGGAGAATGTGTAGCGCTGAGCTAATAAATATATATAGTTGTAATATCGGGGCTAGCGCTAAAGCTAACAGGCTAAACTGAGGTTCTTCTTCCATGAAGCAGCTCTGTTGTCCTCCATCCATATTTTCAGTTACAGGCTGAGTCATTTCTACCTTCTCCTCTCTGTCAACGCTCTCTGGTTTCATTTAAGAGTCGATCATCAGATATTGTCCAAGATTAACCTTCAGGGTGGATATAGCTCGCTAGCAGCCTCGCGCCGATGACCTATCCATGTTATCATTTACCCAGAATGCTTTGCATGTAAATAAAATGGTCCCGTCCATGTAATATTTAGTTTATTTGCTGTAATATTGCTTCTCTAATTCCCACAAAGGACTTCAAATCTACAGAACAGGGCTATTCAACTGGCGGTCTGCAGGCCACAACCGGTCCGCGAGTGACTAAAGTTTGGCCTGCCAATTTGTTCATTCATCTCTTAAGCCCAAACCCCCGGTTTTCTACTTTAATTACTCTGTTATTTAAGTTTGACATAGACATGTTTGGTRTCTACAGAAGCATCATAATCTTGGCTAGAMGCTGGTAAAAACATTTCTATGCACACTCAAGACAGTTAAAATTACAAGCAGTTGAAAATAAAACTATGAGAGATCTTGTATATACATGCATGCTCACAACCGCACACAAACAGGTGTTTAAATCCTGGCTTTTCTGGTCAGTCAATGATTGAATGTGTGTGTGCATATATTAAATATTATATATCTTCAGCTATCAGCAAGATTATAAATCACTATTATTATATACATGTGCATTTTGTTGTTGTGTTTTTGTTCTCTGTTTCTGCAGGTGTGCAGCCAAGATGTCCGGTGTGTTGTCTTGTGTTTTCTTCATGAATTTTTCACATATCGTCAAATCTCTTTCACTGTTTCCCCACTACATTTCACCTTTTTCTTCTCTTTCTTTTTCTTCTTTAAAAAAGTCACTTATGATGAAGAAACTAAGAAATTAATATTCAGTACTGCTTTCTATCTAAGTGGCTTAAAAAAGAAAAACTATGAAAGTGAAAATATAATTGGTTTACAAATTTGGAAAGTCAGAGATGTCAAAATAATATTTGTGTTAAATA